AATTAAATAAAGCAAGTTTAAAAAGAAAAGTACACAACCAGAAGGTAAGACTATTTTATAAAAATATCATTACTGATGAAGGTAGGAGAGGAATGAGTCAAAAATGAACATAACTGATCTTTGAACAACCCGAGTTTGAATTGCTTGGGGCCATATATATGGATTTTTTCAATTAATATGCAATTGTCCCTCCATTTTCCTGGGTTTTATATCTGGAATTCAAACAGCCACAGATTGAAAATAGTATTTTGATCCATGGTTAGGAATTGTGGATGCAGAAGGTTAACTTGATACATGATATGCCATTCCATATAAGGAACTTAGGCATCTGTGAATTTGGGTATCCATAGGTGTCATGGAACTAATCACCTCATGATATGGAGAAACACTGTAGTTAAGTGTTTGGGAAAGTAAAAATTTATACCTGGATTTTCTATTGTGCCAGAGTCAGCACCCCTAACCCCATGTTGTTCAAGGGTCAAGTGTATTTATATCCTATCATCTTGACATATTCTGACCACCCTCCCTGTACCCCTTCTTTCTTTTTTTCTACAGTTATTTCCTGAGCATCTCTGCCAAGCACTGTACTAGATGTTGGGAATATAAAAATATCAACAGGTTCTGTCTACATTCATAATAGAAGGAAATATTCAACTTAGTCAGAAGTTAGTGAAAATACAGTTTTTCCCCCATCCAAGACCATAGGCCCCCTAATTTCTATCTGTGGGTTCCAGTTTGAGATCCCCTGATTTAGACCATCCAAATTCACAACATGTTCGCTCTCTATGTACCTGGAGATATGCTACATAATAATGGTATTCAGACCCTGTTAAACGAGAGTGATAATTACAGTAATAAGGGAATCTTGGCAAGTCATGTAAGGCAATCTACAGCTTAGGAAAAGTATGCCTCTTTTCCAATTAGCTCTTGCAGAAGGAAAAATTTCAGAACTTACAAATGAATGATGGTGGCAGAAGATATAAGGAACTGATTGGATTTGTTTTTCAGAACTATAGGACAGCCTTTTGAATGGAAGCTAGAAATCAAGTGGCCTGAAATGAAACAAGTAGAATCTAAGGGAATGAAAGTGAGGTTGTCTATAAAGACTTAGTGAAAGTCTTTTTCTTTTTTCTTAAAACTTTTTTCTTGGATAAATTTTCTTGGGAAAAAAGAAGAGTGAAAAGCATTTCCTTACTTTCTTGCTATAACCACTGATGACACTAATGTGTTACTGATAAAAGAATTAGAATGAAACTATATAGTTTCTTTCCTGTTTATTCCATTCTTAATCTAGTATAAGCATTATTAAATAATCTTTTTAAGTTACTTCACAATTTTTAAAAAATTGTAAAAAAAGCACATAACATAAATTTAACCATCTTAACCATTTTAAGTATACAGTTCAGTAGTATTAAACATATTCACTTTTGGGCAACAAATCTCTATACCTTTTTCATTTTGCAAAGTTGAAATTATATACTGCTTTAACAACTTCCCATTTTCCTCTTCCATCAGCCCTTTGGTAAGATATAACTTTTAATGGCTGTCAAATATTCTATCACATGGATGTATCATACTTTATTTAGCAATTACATTATGGTTGGTTATTTAGACTTACTATAATACACAATCATTATGCTGCAAGAATATCCTTGTACATGAAAATCTTTGACTACATTGTGATCATTATCTCAGGACAGATACCTAGAAATCAGTTTACCAGATTAAAGGGCAAAGACATTTTTTAAAAATGACATTTACAAATGAGATTTTCATAACTATTGAGACTCACTTTTTTTGTACGTTAGGCTTGACTATGTTTAAAACTCTTGCTACATTTGGACAATTATACTTTCCAGAAACACTTGACCAATTTGTGTTCCATTAGCAGACAATGAAGGTCACTGTCTGGGAGTAACTCATTGCTGTTCCCTTAACAGCTTTGAGTATTACTACTTTAAAAAAATTGAAGATATTTTTAGAATAAAAAATAAAATTTCATTTTGATTTATAGTTCATTAACAGTAGATTATCAGTATTTCATTTTAGATCATGTAGTTTTCTTTTTTCACGTAGAAATTAAATTTACTTTTACATCTTCTTTCCTTTTTTTCTAAAGTTCCCCCATTATAACATAAAATTACTTTTAAGTTCCTGCCAAGATGGAGGGGTAGGGTAGGTACACTGTGCCTCTTCGCACAACCAAAAGAAGGACAATGACAAGTTTAAAAACAAGAAACAATCAGAGCTCCCAGAAAATTGAACTGTATAGAAGTCCAACAACCAAGGAGTTAAAGAAGAAACATTCATCCAGACCATTAGGTAGGGTGAAGATGGGCAGCTGAGCAGAGAGGACTCACAGGAAGGTGGCTGCTGCAGGACTTGGGGAGGCAGCAGCTGGCAGAGTGGGCAGTCCCACACTTGTGTGCAGATAAATGGAGAGGAACAACTGGGGAGATGACAGACCACGAAACACAGAGTTCCAGTGCAGGGAAAAAAAGACTCAAAGACTCTGACTGAAAAAACCTGTGGGGGTTGAGGTGGTGGGAGAAACTCCCAGCCTCACAGGAGAGTTCATTGGAGAGGCCCACAGAGTCCTAGATCATACACAAACCCACCCACCCAGGAATCAGCACCAGGAGGGCCCAGTTTGCTTGTGGGTAGGAGGAGGGGTGACTGAAAGCAGGCAGAGAGCTGAAAAGGTGGCATTGTTCTCTCTCAAACCCCTCCCCCACATACAGCACCACAACATAAAGACTTGAGTAGACTACCCTGGTGAATACCTAAGGCTCCACCTCTTACTATGTAACAAGCACATCGAGGCCATAAAAAAAAATGGCCCAAATGAAAGAACAGATCAAAGCTCCAGAAAAAATACAACTAAGCAATGAAGAGATAGCCAACCTTTCACATGCAGAGTTCAAAACACTGATAATCAGGATGCTCACAGAAATGGTTAAATATTGTCGCAAAATAGGGGAAAAAGTGAAGGTCATGTAAAGTGAAATAAAGGAAAATGTACAAGGAACCAACAATAAAGGGAAGGAAACTGGGACTCAAATCAACAGTTTGGAGAAGAAGGAAGAAATAAACATTCAACCAGAATAGCATGAAGAAACAAGAATTTTAAAAAATTAGGAGAGACTTAGGAACTTCTGGGACAACTTTAAATGTTTCAACATCTGAATCATGGGGGTACCAGAAGGAGAAGAGAAAGAGCCAGAAATTGAAAACTTTGAACAAATAATGAAGGAGAACTTCCCCAATCTGGCAAAGGAAATAGACTTCCAGGAAGTCCGAGAAGCTCAGAGAGTCCCAAAGAAGTTGGACACAAGGAAGCTCACACCAAGGCACATCATAATTACATTACCAAAGATTAAAAATAAGGAGAGAATCTTAGAAGCAGCAAGAGAAAAGGAGACACTTACCTACAAAGAGTTCCCATAAGACTATCAGCTGATTTCTCAAAAGAAACCTTGCAGGCAAGAAGGAATTGGAAAGAAGTATGCCAATTCATGAAAGGCAAAGACGTACATCCAAGATTACTCTATCCAGCAAAGCTATCATTTAGAATGGAAGGGCAGATAAAGTGCTTCCTAGCAAGGTAAAGCTAAAGGCGTTCATCATTACCAATTCCTTATTATATGAAATTTTAAAGGGACTTATCTAAAAAAAAGAAGATCAAAACTATGAACGGTAAAATGACAACAAACTCAACTATCAACAACTGAACCTTAAAAAAAAAGAAAAAAACAAAAACAAACTAAGCAAACAACTAGAACAGGAACAGAATCACAGAAATGGAGATCACATAGAGAGAGATCAGTGGGGAAGGGAAGGGGGCGTGAGGGAAACAGTACAGGGAGTAAGTAGCATAGATAGATGGTAGGCAGAAAATAGACAAGAGGAGGGTAAGAATAGTATGGGAAATGAAGAAGCCAAAGAACATATGTATGACCCACGGGCATGAACTAAGGGCAGGGAATGTGGGTAGGAGAGGGTGTGCAGGGCAGAGGGGAATAAATGGGGGGGGGTGAACAACTGTAATAGCATAATCAATAAAATATATTAAAAATAAAACTACTTTTAGAAAATAAACTATAAAGAAGAAAATATACCCCATAGTGAAAGACTTTCAATATGGAGATTTAAGAATCTTTTCTTCTGATTCTTAGGGTCCTGGAAAGTCTTTCTAAAACTAAAATAAGTAGTCATAATTTTTTACTTAGCACTGGAAGAGGAGGCACTGGGTAATTCTGATTGATTCCTTGTTGCTAAAATAGTGTGCCAGCTGGCTCGAGGTAAATTAGCAAATCTTGACTGGCAACAGCTTGAAACTAGCAGGACAAGTTTTAAGAAGTTGCAAACGTAAGATGTGAAAAAGAACGTGGAAAGACGACTGGGCAGAGGGATTCCGGACATTCTACTGCGTTTCACTAATTCCTTCAATCTGCTTTCAAGAACTCAAAACTTGAAGAAAACAAAATTCTAGCATGCAAAAACTGCTTCCTTTCTGCCTATGGCGCTGACATTTCCTTTGTGTAGGAACTAGCTTTTCAAATCCAGCAGGCCCCAGCAATGTAACCCAACAGGATTCTTGTTCTTGAAGATTCAATACGTGAAAGCACTTCCTGTCTGCTGGAACAGATCAGAGCCAGAGGTGGAGAGACCATCTGCAACGTGACTCACTCTGCGTTCAACAACACTCTGCGTACCAAGCGTTGGGAACATCAGCCCCTGCAAGTCACCTGAGGAAGGGCCTCGCAGCTCATTCAAACATTCATTCATACATTCATGCATTTTGTTGCGCTCCTCCCAGCCCTCTTTGTGGCGGGAAGAAGGGAAGAAGTGACTAGACCGAGGAAGGGCGGCACAACACAACACGGGAGGAGCACCACGCAGGCAGCGGCGGCTTTTTAGAGGCGCAGGCCTGGCCAGGGCGCGGCAGGGGCGCAGGGGAGCGAGCGGCGGGACAAGGGAGACCCGCAGCTGAACGCTACCTGGGGGCGAGCGAGTGAAGTTTTGGCCTTCCGAGTTGACGGCCTGCAGGTAGAAATAGCGGACGGGCAGAACAACGCCGGCCTGTAGCCCGGGGCCCCATACCAGGCTCCGCGGAGCGCTAACTTGCTCCCCGGGGGCCCCCGCAGCCACAAGCACGGCGTGTTGCAGCAACAGCAGCAGGGCCCACAGGAGGCGGCCCATGGTCGCCGGGCCGCTGCGGTCCAGCTCTGAAGGGGCTAGAAGGGGTGGGTAGCGCCTCGGGAGGGGGCGGGGGCACACCCTGGAGCGGGCTGGAGCTGGGCGGTCCGTCAACCCGCCCCCCTTTCTAGGCCGCTAACCCAGGGTGCAGAGTAATCATTGGCCTGGCGCTCTGCTTGGCGGTCCGCGACCAACAGGTCCCCTCCTTCCCCAACCTTATGGACCCCAATGAGAACGGGAATCGTAGGTCTAGCAAAGAGAAACCAAGAGTGAGAGTCGCATCGTTGATCGCCAAGGCCAGGCCTCCACCTCCGGTTCCTTGAATTTGTCAACTGCTTATAGGAAACATTTTTTCTTTTTTAAAATGTATTTTTAGTTTTAATTATATTTTATTGATTATGCTATTACAATTGTCCCAATTTTCTCTCCTTTGCCCTCCTCTACCCAGCAACCCCCATTCCCTCAGGCAATCCCCATTCATTGTTCATGTTCATGGGCCATGCGTTAAGTTCCTTGGCCACTACTTCATTTCCTATACTGTACTCTAAAAGAGGCAAACTTGGTAGTGACTTCCTTGGGATGAAAGAACCCAGCACCAAAGAACTTTAATATAGTTTAGGGAAATGCCTTTAGGGAGGAATTTCACTGGCTGTTCACAGTGTTCTCTGTACTTTGGAAAGATTTTCAGGAACTCATAGTAAATCAGATGAACTGCAGGCTACAGTGTGACATTACTTGGTATTAATTTTATTGCTAAATTTTATTTTGTAGGGGTGTCTGCATGTTGAAAACTTTTCTCTGCTCTAGCTATCACTTAAAAAAGTTATTTGGAACACTTTGTTCACATTCTTCTAAAATCAAACTTTAAACAGTTTCTAGAGAAATAATCTAAGGGTTAGCTGGTACTGGATAATAAAATACAACCTAATAAATTACATAACAGTTGTGGCAACACCCAGTTGTTTTGAAAACACATCAAAGAAGACATAATTGTATCTGAACACTCCTTTAGCAATACTGAATCTGTCCCAACGTGTTTCCTTTCTCATCTCAACCCATATCTTATAAAGCGTATCTCTTTAGATCAACAAATGCCTGACCAGATTCATTATCATAAATCAAATTTGATTTACTTGACAAACATTAATTCAATGTTTACTATGTTTTAGACATTATACTTTAACATTATAGTGTCTACTATAGTACTATAATATAGCATATACTATACACTATACTACAGTGTATAGTATATTGTATACTTTGACATTAAAGTATAGTGTCTCCTGTGGTTTAGTGGACAAGAAAAAGAGGCAGTGTACATAGTAATAGGTGCTAAAATATGGGTATCAGGAATTGTGTGGGGTCTGGGATTTTATCCTACTTACAAGCTAACAAATTAGTCTTTGCTGTTTCATGGATGCTGTCCTGGGTCAGAGACAGAGAACTTCATTAGTCACTGCCCAAGCAGTAGCCAGGACTTCATGTTGATTTGTGTTGGATACCCATGATCCCTGTTAGGGGTTGAAATGTGTTCCTCCATAATTCATATGTTGAAGCACTAACTCCAGACCTCAGAATTTGACTGTATTTGAAGGTAGGGCTCTAAAGAGATGATTAAGTTTAAAAAGCCATTAGGGTAGGCCCTAATCCAATCTAACTGGTGTTCTTGTAAGAATAGGAAATTTGGGCATACATGGAGACCCTGGGATAGTCTAAGCACAGAAGAAAGGCAATGTGAGGATGCAGTGAGAAGGTAGCTGTCTACAATCCAAGGAGAGATGCCTCAGAAGAAACCACACCTTTATATGACTTGATCTTGGTCTTCCAGCCTCCAGAATTATGAGAAAATAAATTCTGTTGTTTCAGCCACCCAGTCTATAGTATCTTGTTATGGCAGCCCTAGCAAACTAATATACCCCCGAGATCCAATGGGAACCACGCGAAAGGACTGTCATGGATGCCTGCACTGCAAGAGAAGCACATGGCAATTAGGGGATTACTGCTTTTAGAGTCAAGTGAATTACCACTCTGTGTTGGTGAGGAGAGCTTATCTCATCCTTCCTGGTTGCTTGCTGCAAACACATGAGAAATGGGAGGGGTAAAGATTGGTCAAGGACTTACATTCTTGGCATATCCACAAAAATTTCAGGGATGCTCAGGGCCCATGACAAACTGTCTGTCCCAATATAAGTATGTCATATGGAGGCCAATTAACCTAATCCTGGCAGAACTGAGAGACACTTTCTGAAAGAGATGACATCTGTGCTCAAACATGACAGTCAAATAGGAATCTGTCACTGGAAGAGGGGAGGAAAGTCTTTCCAGGCAGTAGAAAAGTCAAACACAAAACTTGAAGTAAATGACCCACTTCAAGAAGTTTCTGTTCCTTTTCACATTCATCCGTATATTGAGTTCCAATCTCAGACACATAGAACTATAGTCTGTGTGTGACTCTGGAATGTCTACATCCAATATACCTTTATGAATGCAATGACCCCTGGAATCCTCACATTAAAGATATGTAAACTTCACAGCTGTTAACTGTCCACTAGGTTCATAACATTTCTAACCCTTTCTAGTAACTGCTCCTCTTTTTTTTTCCCTTCACAGCTCACAGTTAACAATGAGGCTTTGTAAAACATCACCTTAACCCATGGCCACAGTTGTCTGGCCCATAATTCGAAAACTGTCTCATGCTGAACTAAACAGAATCTTTTCTTTGAGGGTTTAAAAACCAAAGTTAAGAGATTGCTATTTGTAACTGACTGTTCTCTTAAACAGAGCCATATAAACTAGACCATTTATTGCTTTGTAGATGAAATGGAGTTTTCTATATAATGCACTATGCAGGCTTGGTACCATTCATAAGTGGCATCTCTGCCCTTGGTTTCAGGGATATCCATGTATCCTCATGATTAATTCCTCTTTTGATATTAGAGAACTGTCTCATTTTCAATGTCATTAATTAATAAAAACTTACATGGTCTTAGGTGAACTTGGATCCCATAAAATGCATACATATTTAATTAATTTCAATAATATTTATTCAGCACCCTATTTGTCATGCATTTTGCAAGTACTGGGGATATAAACTTCCTCTTATTACAGTTCCCAGGGTGAATTTTAGATTGTGAGGCAATTGGTTTAAATATTAGCTTGCATTCAGAATCTCATAGTATGGGGGTATTTCCTCCTGAAACACAGCTGCTCATTTGTCAGGCACTCATCCCTGAACCAGTCCACTGTACTCAGACTCTCAGAGCCACGGAAGAACCTTGATTCTACTGTAGTGATCATGTGGTGGCGGTGTTGGGGGAGGGGGACCAGCCAGGGGATGGAGTTTCCAGAGAAAAGAAAAAAGCATCTCCTGGATTGATAATGACATCAGTATCCACTACATACCCACAACAACATCTCTTGAAGTACTTTTAGCTTACTCTAAACCGTAATGATAGCATAATCTGGAAAGGATGGTTGGGGAAGGATGCTTAGAGGGAAAATTAATTAACTAGTATTTCATTAATACATATTTCCTAAAAGCTGTCATCACAAGGGAAAACATATTTTTTTGTTACTGTGAAATGATGGATGCTAACTAAATTTATTGAGGTAACAATTTTGCAACATATGTAAGTCATGTTATTATGCTGTACACCTTAACTGATAGTGTTATATGTCAATTCTATCTTGATAAAACTGAAACCCCCCCCCACAATGTTTCACAATTAGTTTTTCACAAGGACAAAATCAACTTGTTTTATAAGTACAAATTTTAGTTTTTTTTAGAAGAAAACAACACTAAATATTCCCCCATAGTAAATCTTTTAAAAGATTATTTTTAATTTTTTATCTGTATACCCACTGATATATTCTAAGTGCATAACATAATCATACACACACGTATTCCTATATATACATATGTGTGTATTTACAGTTTTTTCTGAGGGGATCTTGCTACCCCTCCTATTTCCTGCTGCTCTTGAACATACCTTCCAACAGCCCCCACCCCTACCCCACCCCCTGCCACAAAGCAACTGACATTAATAGCCTAGCATGCATCCCTCCATATGTATACATGCTAATGCAGGTTTTTTGGTTAATATTTACAAAAGTGAGATTTTGCTTTTTTTTCTCTCAACAGTACTCATGCAAATTCTTCCAAGTCCACTTATATAGTTTTAATTTATTCTTTTTAATGGTTTAATAATATTACATGTGTATGTTCCATAATATATTCACTCAATCATTGTTTATTAGGTATTCACTTTGTTTCCAGTTTTGGCTGCAGACATTTTTATGTGTAAGTTTATATATTTTATATTAAATTTACTTTTATTGATTTCTGGGGAAAATGAGTATGGTGATCCATTGTGTTGGTTCACTCAGCTTCCTGATTCTGCATCTTCCTGGTCATCACAGAGACAGCAGCTCTCATGGAAATTCAGTTCCCTGGCATGGTTTTAGGAATTGGTCCTGAAATTTCAGCTTACTGTCTGTTTCCTCAGCCCTACCAATGTGGCTGTGAGCAAAGTATATACCCTTTAATATGTCCATTTTGACTGGAACCATCTAGAGAGGATTATATTGTCCATGACTAAAAATCCTAGCTGATGCAATGTATTTTAAATTTTAACAAAAGACAGCAAAAATATTTTGAATAAAGTACTATCTATATGTGTGTTGATGACATTCTCTTGTCCTAGGTAGAGAAAAAGTTTTGAGTTGCTTTCTTAGAAAAGATAAATCTATTAATTTGTTTAGCAAGAATTAACACTGCATGTCTCATATTCCAATTGGAAAGACCTCCTTATCTTCCATCAGTGCTACTGGGTGATAGATGACCCAACTCCGTGTAGCTCCCTCTTCCTCTGTAAATGCAGGAGCTCTCAGAGAAACGCCAGACTTGATTCATCCCTCCTCTATTAGGCAACCAGGTGCAATGACCTCCATTTGCTGGTTGGCTGCTTTTGGGCACAAATAGAGAATGAGAGGGATCACTGTGTTTTAAAACCATTTATATGGTTGATCTCATTCAGTAGCCACCAAAAAGATTTATTTGAAAGTTTTTGTACTCTGCCTCTTCTCTTTGTAGTTTTCCTGAAACTTTCACAATTAAAAGTCATCATTTGAGGATGGGAATAAAAACTAAGTCAAGCAGTGACTTTACTTAAATCATTTATTTCAACACAGGCATTGATTTAAATTTGTGCTTTGTCATATAACACATTTCATGCCTAGATAACATGTTTAAGAACAAATATATAAAAGGGTTATCTGACAATATTTTAACAAAAGTGCTTAAGACTTGTTTGTTTCAGAACACAGAGATGCCCATCACAAACAGCCCCTATGTGGTAATACATCACAAACTTGCTTTGAAAATAAAATATTTATGTATATACACTGTACATTTAAATGGAATATTCTGAAGCATGATTACTATTACTAACAATAAACTCTTAGCAATAAAGCCTCTTTAACCCTCTGGCATTCAGTGGAGTATACTACTTTTATGGAGGTGTGGATTTTCCAATTTGATTTCCATCTTCACCATAACCTAAGTGGACTTTGTTTCATCACCTCCAATACAGGCACGAAGTTACCTCTTACACAAAGTAGCTATTATTAGCTTATCATCAACCAAAGCTTTGTTAGTAGCAATTGGAATTTTATTGACATCAATGTATTTACAATATAAGGAAGTAAATCATTTAGAGGAAAGTCTCTAAAAGTCAAAATAATTTCATTAAGTCCTACTTTAAATGGACTTTACATGTAAAAATTTATGGTTACAGAAATCCATGATTTAATCAAGTTAATAATAATTTACATCCTGATTTATTCCATTTATATGAATATTTATTGTAATAATGATTACATCTTTTAGAAAAGTTATAAGCATAAAAATTACTATAGCTATACCAAAAATGAATATTAAAAAGCAGCAGTTTGTATGTTAAAATACATAGAAATTTGCTATACTTCTCTAATGAAGTTTTATAAAAGTATAAAACTATAGAAGGTGTTATTTTAATGAATTTCCTGTTTTCTTGATTCTTAAGCCAGACAACAAGCAAACATTACAAACAGTGCAAGTGAGTGTTGACCATCAATTACCTTTGAATTCACATACAGTAGATTCTAGTGCAAAAATTCAGGGCCCCAAAGTAGTTTATCTTCACTTTAACTTACTTATGTTAAGAATGTTTAGTTACAATGTTGATATTGCTTAAACTCGGTGAAAAATAAGCTATCTTCATTTCACCTTTTGTAGCACATATGTACACTCAGGTATTTACTGAACTAGAACTCATAAGCTAATCATTAAAAAGAGTCAAGAAATTTTATTATTACAATATTAATTGAATATCTTTAAATTACATAGAAAATATAGGTGATGGTTTATAAAAATTTTACTTAAATAATCAGATAAATAATAAAAGGAAAAGGTAGACTTTACAAATATACAAAAAAGAAAAAATAAAGTGTTATTAATTTTTTTACCTGATAAATTTAAATTGAAAAATTCAGAAGAGTTAATTTAGAATTCTATTATCAGTCTCTTTAAGATCAAGATTGCTCAGAACCTGTACTTTAAAACAGTTTTCAGCTTTAAGGGTTAGCTTTCATGTCAGTGACCACATCTCCATTAGGTCTGAGCTGCATGGGAACAGGGTAAGCCTGCCCTGGCATTCTTCTATGCAAGGCAATGATTTAGAAGGTAACATAGCACTTTCTTGAATTTTATCAGTTCCAGATCTCCAGACACTTCACCAGCACCTATCATTATCCTTAATTCATATGGATGAAACAGACAGGTGAGAACAATGGAAAATTAAATTAGGTCAGGATGCAAATATAAACCACATAAGATGAAATCCACTCATGTTGACCTTCACAGCAGTGAGATCCAGGACGTCATGCTTTCTGTAGTTTTAGCAAATTACCTTTACTCTGATTAGGAAGAGAGAAATCCCCAGTTGTTCTGCATGGCAACTAAAGAGTTAGGAAAGTCAAGTTCTCAGGGTGTATGGGAAGTTATTTAGTCTAGACAAATTCTTGAATCACAGTGATAAGCCCTGAGAAGCTCTGCCTCATAATTTCCCAGGGGTTTGGTAAATGATCCCACGAAGAAGCCTGTGAATGTCAGGATGTCAGGTCTTACTTGGCAGCAGTCTAGGGGGCTGGCCGAGGCTACCATTTGATACTTATGAGTAAAAGGCCACACATGGAAAAAAGTATCTTGCAATGAAGAAAATAGAAAAATGTAGTCTGGAGATATGGGGAAAACCAGTTGCCTAGAGAGCTGCTGTAAGGATGTCAGTCTCATGAAGGCATGTCCATTTATCTCCACCCCTCAGTTATACTTCTTTCCTAGGCAGAAATTTTGTGGCCAACCCACCTTCTGTGCCCTCAGGTTGCCTGGTGCCAGTCCTTGACTTGGTTAAAATTCAGCTCTTAACAATTCTGCCAATTCCTACAAACAATTTCAAAGGAATTCCTAGGAGTACAAGTGTCACTTGGTTTATGAGGAATTCTGCTCCTCCTCTATTATCTCAACAAGCACTTCAGAAAGGCACCTCTCGGGCTGCACTGTGGATATAACAGGATGTCTTTATGAAAATTCCTTTATCTTTGTTTGAAGAAAAAAAAAAAGAATGACCAAACCCTAGACCTCCTAAGTGCTGATGAGTCAAACAGGATGACAATATTTACTCCATTGTCATCATCCCTATATTTTAATGCCATGAGTATGGGGTGTGGACCAGAGGAGGCAGTACAGAGTTTTTCAGTTGTACTGAGTAACAAGTTTTGTACATGTGTCTGGGAGATTAGGGTTGCAAATCACATGAAAGGTGTAAAAAAAAAGTTGGGGGGAAGTAGAGCAGAAAGCCAAAATTGAACAGTGAATTAGAGACTCACTTGGGTATGAAAAGGAAAGCCAAGGATATATAGTCAGAAAATAGCAAAGAATCCCCCCAAACAAGAAGGTATTGCTCTGGAACTCAAGAAGAGTGTGTATGTGTACATAGGCTATGGAGGGGGGAAGAATTCAGGTTGCTTCAGAAATAGATATATATTTTTTAATCTGTCCTTCCTATGGACACACACATTTACATTTTATTTCCATTACAAGCTTTTGGAGAAAAGATTATGCATTTTATTGAAGAGGCCTCACAGTTCTGACTCTTTGTCATGTTCATCCAGGTAGTACTCATCATCTGTGGTTGTGTCTGTGTCACAGTCTGAGTCTGCTGGATCCCCTTCATAGATATTAAGTGGTACATGTGGAGATAAGCCATCCTCTGGCATCTGATTGCTAGGAGAATCTGAGCTCAATGACTCCATTGGGTTAGGAGGGTGAATTACCTCATCTTTCAGGAAGCCAGGGTTCTTCAGAAAACTTGGTTTCCATAACCTTCCCTGTGTGAGTGACCTCTTTACATTCTCCAAGAAAGCCAACTGTTGTTCTTTCCCAAATATCCCATAATCAAGAGGTCTGGATATAGATGTTGCAGACTTGGGACCCATTTTTATTCTGTTGCTGTACAAAGCCCAATTTTCATTTTCATCATAAGAGGGAAGTTCAGAAGAAGATTTGAATTTTCGACTGTACCCATTGTTGTTAGAGAATTCACCCCCAAGGGTCAGGTGGCTCAGGGCATTGTCAATAGAAGTGCTTTCAGAAAAATGGCGCTCCCTGGTTTTCGGAGGATGACTTTTTCGTAGCAGATCACCGTGCATGTTGATGCTTTTTAAACTCTTTGAACGATAGGGGTGTGGCTCAGGTTCCCACTCCAGAGGAGCAGTATGCCTTTGTTGCTGCTGACAGTGGGACAGTAGGGTGCTTATTGCAGATTTCTCTGTAGGCTCCACTGGAAGATGAGGGTTCCGCCTCCTCTGATGGTCAGAGAAGTCGGTTTCCCCGAGGCTGGTGACCGTGGGTTGACTCAGGGTACCTGACTCTCTTCCCACAATCTGAGCTACTGTTACATCTTTGGAATTCTCATAGTTGGGTGGTGATTCTGAGCTATTTTTAAACTCATTTTGATGTGGTTGTGAAAAGCCGTTAGACTTCTGACTGCTTAAGTGTATAGCAGCTTCTCTGTCGGACATTACAGTAACCAGGAGAAGGTTCTTGGATTTCTTCACATCCATTCCCTCATTATTCAACCTGTTTTCATCAGTGGATTCTGTGGACTTTGGAGTAGGCTCAGAAGACAGTATGTTGCACTCTGGTGTGCCAAAAGATAAACCACTGAAGCCAGAACTGTTCCCACTTTGGGGGAAAATAGTAGCTACATGTCTTCTGGGGCTTAAATCTTTAGCTGGAAATTTTCTGCTTGCCAATCTGTGTTTAGGTGAGGACCTGTTTTTCCCTTTTTCTAGATCATCCAAGCTGGTTTTATTTTTATTACTTCCTTCAGGAAGTAAGGGTTGATCCCATGCCAACCTCTGCATTTCATCTTTAGTCTTGCCCTTCTTTGTCAGATTTACCTCCTGACTTCTTTGAGGTAGTTCTCCGGGTTTAGACTGCAAACTGTCTAAATCTTGTTTACCTGAACAAGTCTCCTCATCCAGATGTAGTTTAGGCAAAGCTGGAGTAAGAGCAAAGACTTGGCTTTCTGAGCCAGAAAGTGCATTATCAGCCTTTTTTTGGAAATCTGCTCTTCTGACTCTCCTCTGATGCTGCAATCCATTGGAGCTATCATCTTCAGCTGTGCCTGTGATCTCTTTCTGAAGACACTTGGCACTTCCAATAGCTGTGGTGGCTATACCACTACCTGCACACTCCCCAGAACTTCTGGTTTGGTGATTTTCAGCAATCCCTTCTGCATGGGCTGGAGGACTAGGACCACTGTCAGGTGATTTAATGGAGTGCTGACAATTTTCAGATTTCTCTTCTGTGACTTTTCTTTCTTGAAGAATTAATGAAGTATGCAGTGTTTTACTTTGCAACTTTTTCCCTCTCTTTTTCCTGTTTTGTGAATCACCTAGAGGTGTTTTAGTTAAGTTATCTGGGGAAATCTCTCTAGTTTTAGATTCTCCTTTATGAAAAGAAACATCTGCCCCAATAGAAGCCCTTTCCTGTAGTGTAGGTTCTGAGGGGCTAGTACTCGATAACTGTAGAACAGTCACCTTTTCAGTGTTGGGAGAACGGCAACTGCTGTTTTCCTGAGCAGAGCTGACCAGCATTTTCAGATGTCCTGATGAAGGTGTTCCTGACTGTTCTTGTGTGGAATAGTTCAGTTTCTCTTTTTCTAAAGTACTGGAAAATGTTACAGTCCCCACTTTAGTTGATTCTGGAGGTTCATCAGTATTTTGAGTATGCTTTTGGAGGAGATTACATAATTTTTTGCTGTGTTTCCTTGGTAGAGTATAATATACTGAAACTACCTCAAGACACTTTACATTATCTTCGTCACCAAAAACAGAAAACATACTAGTAGTCTTAAATTTATGTAATGTTTTCCCACTTTTCCCCCCTGACATATCTGAAGAAAAAGGTAAAGAGTCTTCATCTGAGATGGAGAATGTCTTGGAGGCAGCATTTTTACCATCCTTTTCAGTACATTCTTGAAAGGGGTCCTTTTGGTGGTATCTTTTGGTTAAAGAACAATCCCTAACAGGTGAGTCACTTTCCAGAGGGTTAATGGTTTTCTCCCAAGGTCTTAGTGTTATAGCAGAAGCATCCATGTCTGAGACCGAGCATTCTTCTCTTTCATCTCTTCCAAATGAAGCATGTGGTACCTCTGAAGGCCACGACACAGCCCTCTTGGTGAGGAATGGGAAGGGTCCTTTTCTAATGGAAGCAGATCCAATGTTTGTCATAGTTGTCATATTCTCTGTTGCTTCAGGTGTTACTGAGGCTGAGTCTGAAACTACTTTGGAACATCTGCTTTCTGACTCAGAAGAATTGGAATTAAATATATTTGATGCGTCTTTCCCTATTGGATCTTCCAAATTATATTCAAGTTGGAGTGGAAGTGGAGCATTCCTAAATGAAAGAGCTGTTGTCTTACTTTCTGACTTCCTACTATTAGCGAGAAAACTGGCTGATTTTCTTGGTAAGGTACAATAAATAGTGTGAGGCTCAGGAGCCTTGGAATCACTTTGATCTACCTGAATGAGGCTACTGCTGCCACTTGTGGGTGTTGATTCACTTTCTGTTTTGCTCAACTTTTCAATATCAGATGTACGCCGTCTTATTTTTGCTTTTCCCTTCCCAGCCCTGAAAGGAGGATGTAAATGGCATTTGACATCAACCACTTCATTATTTATACATACACAACTATCATCACTCTTTACAGTTTTTGAGGGGCTCGAGGTAAACTGATTATTTTGATACTGGCTATTATTGTCTTCTTTTTCTCTTTCTCCCAGGAATGGATGTTGGCCTGAAAGAGTTTTCCTGGAGAACACTTCAGTAGAAGGAGCCACCAGAGAACCAAGGGAAAAATCATTTGATGGTGAAGGATCTGGTAGTGCACCTGATGACAGACCTACAGAGTCACATGGGATATTGAGGCCAGCAGTTGACTTGCTACACTTGGTAGAATGAGTTTTGGTACACTGTTCTCCCTTGGTATCTAAATTAGCAGACTTTTCTGGAGATTGTGCATTTTGATTACCAGTAGGTTCAGAGCTCCAGAGGTTATTTTCAATAGTGCTTAACTTGTCTTCAGTACTTACTATTAGTTCCTGGTGACAACTTTGATTTGGGCTGGGAAAAGATGATGCTGTTCTGCTTTCCTGAATAAAAGGAAAAGAAGTTGCTAGGCCAGATTTTTGCTTTTCAGTATAACCCATATCTTTTTTTAGTTCATTGGCTTTATCTCTTTGTGATATATGAATTTTGGAGCTATCTTTCCTGGAAATGACTTTGGGAGACCTTTTTGAGATTATGGTGGTAGATGCATTAAAAACAAATCTGTTGGTTTTGCCTGAGTCTTGGGAGAGAGGACTTTGAAAATCAGCTAAAGTCTCTGAAACAGGTTGAGGCATTTCACTTGTCATGTTTGTCTGGTCCATCTTATTTAGTTGTTTGCCTTTTTCCAAAATGGATTCACTCAAGTCTTTCTCATTATTCACTTCTGCAAGCAAGATACTGGGTTGGCTTTGAGTAGGAGGTGGAGAATTGAGTGCATTGCTATTGGTCACAGTGGCTTCTGTGTAGCTTCTTATTGGAAGAGAGACAGGCTTAATCTTTTGCAAAGTGACTGTGGGATTCTGAAACTTTGGACGCTGATGATTCCTTTTGTCATCGGGAATCTGAGGGAAAGAAGTTTTAAATGAGGATGCTAGAGTTTGAGCAGTTCCAAATGAGTAAGGTTCTTGGTTTATAGGTACTTCTTTAGGAGAACTGTCCTGCTGACATTCTAAACTACCAGATTTGATGTGACAGCTTGAACCAGTCGTGGAGCAAATATTTGCTGTGCCAAAATGAGTCATCAGGTTCCCATTACCTTGTGACACCTCCATGCTCTCCACTGTGGATGTCTGAGAATCAAACTGCAAGGGATGTGGTTCTTCTTGGTCTCTGGGAATAGTAGTTCTATAATTAGGGGAAATTGATCCCCAGTATTGAGAAGAAACATTATGGCCATGACTAGATGATGCACTATTTGCTTCAGTGGAAATCATTTCAAAGTCTCTGTCAGAAGTGAATGGTTTCCTGCTTTGATGAATGCCAGACCAGGAAGAATGTTCTCCCTGTTGGCCCCAGAAAGAACTACGTCCAAATCTCTGTTCCCTGTTTCGACCAAAGGTATTACTAAAGAAAGACCTAGCAAATGGGTTGTCTTGATGGTAGAATGGCATATTCTCTGAGTTCTCAAATGGGTCACGACTCACTGTACTATCCCTGGGGGAATTGAAACTGACACTTTGGTAAGCACTCTGTGAATGATAAAATTCATAGGTCCTATTCTCCTGAAAACACCTGGGATACACCTGGTCAGCAGGGTCAACTTCCATCGGTGACGGTGCCCTCAGGAACTCTTCCTGGGTTGACCTATCTCCAGAAGAATCTGATCTATTCCATATGATGGATGATAAAGGAGTTCTCTTAGGGCTCTGCTGGTGGCTTGGTGGTATAAATCCATTCTTGTTCTGAGTTGTGGCTGGAAAATGTATGCTTCTTGCTGTGAAGTGCCCTGTAGCTGGTGAGGCTATTCGCCTGCTATCAAAACACAGAGAACTACTACCAAAAGTATTCTTTTGTACATAATCTTCTTTTAAGAATCTGGGCTCCCTTGTCCTATACATATCATAAATTGTTCTTGTTCTAGAAGAAAAGGTTTTAAAACCTTCTCTAGGGGTTCCTGGTCTTAGGATGTCATAGATAGACATATTAGATGTTTCATTATAGTGATTTTTGTGCCTTCCTGTGGCGTTACCATGTCTGTTCCCACCGGAGTGAAAATGGCTGAACTGTGTTCTCGATCCATAGTTGAGAGGTGATCTTGTATTCACCGAGCCTGGAGACTGCTCCTGAGCCAGTGTGCTGTCCAAATCATCTAAAACTGAAAGGGGAATATGAGTGACTTTTTATGTAAAATATTTTATAGTCTAATAATAATTTCAGTTGGTGAGGCTCCTCTTCAAGAAACATAATCATTTATAAATATTATATTTATCATATCATCATAGATGTGGTGACATGAGTTTTGATTATATTTTTAGATAGTATGACTTTCACAAAGCTGTAATGAAGTTTCTTTTTCATACTTTTCAAGTCATACTTTTTTGAAGTTAACCTTCCATAATGCCTTAAAGGACATAAAGGGCAAAAAAACTACATTTTCCTTTTGTTTTTTACAAACAACAGATTTTAATCATGGTTTCTCTTAGTACATCTTTTGTGTTATTAGGTAGTTAAAATATTTCCAAATATGTAGAGGATTATGATAGAAATGAGAGTCTGTAAATAACACGTGATTTCTCAGTTCTACCGCATTACTATCAACAATTTAGCACCTAATTTATAAACACACTTATTTCGATGGACTTGAGCAATTTATAAAATTTAAAGTTCTACATAATATTATTAAATTATATGCTAAGGGTAGATTGATTTTCCTGTAAAAAGACCCATTAGTACTCCTTTAATAAAGTACTTTCTATATGTCAGGCACAATTCTAAGACTTAATTTATTAACTCATTAAATCCTCACATAACCTTGTAAGATTGGTGTTATTACCAGTCTTGTTTTAAAAGTGAGGACACTGAGGCACAAAGAGATTCAGTGAGTGGCTGTCTGTGGGCTCAGGCAAGTCACAGGACATTTTAAGTTGTTTGGTATTTCTTTGAATTGTGTTTATTTAATCATATTTGACATCTTTTCCTTAATAAAAGCCTGTTAGAATTTAAATAGAACCAGATTCTTTTAAGGTTTTAAGATTCCCTAAAGCCCACATTGTAGTAGACATAATTTTATCACATTCATGTTACAATGAAAGTAAGTAGAATATGTATTAATGAATAAATATTCATTAAACAAAATCAAATCCGACATGAGAAATAAATTATGGGATTATTTAAATTGCTGAAGAAGTTTTTGGTTTACAGAAATCTGTCATACTGAGTTACATAAAATGGTGTACTTTTATAGGCTACTTAAAATTATTTGTCATCAAAATTTTTTATTTTAATTCTTGATGAAAGGGAAAGTCAGGCATATCAGCATCTAAATGAATGTGAGTGGGCTGCACTTGTGACATGGCAGTTATGTCAGGGCAGGAGCTGAGGGGTTTTGAATCTGTTCTGGGTTATCGCTACCCTGTATTATCTTTAAGTTGGTGCTATTAACTTTGAAGAGCCAGCAGAAGAACTAATCTTGATCATTAAGGATCTGTAACTAAGGAATTCTTCAGGAAATCATCCTGTCAATGCTTTAATGAAAAAAAAATCTCATCTCTGAAATAATTTATCCCACATATCCACAAATAAAATAATCAAGCAATGCCAACTATAAGGTGGAGCAAAGACAAAAACAAAAAACAAACAAAAAACTGTGTAATGAGTAATAATATCTGCCTTTAAAACTAATTATAATAAAATCTCTTTGATTTTGTTCTCCCTTTCAAGCTGTTCATAGTTTTTCTTTACTGAAATAAAGTCTTTTGCTGACAACAAAAACAATAAATGGTTATAACAGAGCACACAGGAAAGTAATATAATAATAACATCTACTGAATGTCATACTTTTGAAATCTATCCCTTTATTGTTATCTATTGTACAAGGTTAATTATTGAGCAACAATTAGATTTCATCACATGCATTTAGTCAGTCAGTAACAATAAAAGTTTATTAAGAGCGGTAGACTTTATAGCTATATTCTCTATAGGTGCATTTCCTTTTCAACTGAGATTAAATATTAACCATTATTACCATTCCATAGATTTATCAGCCTTGGTCTGAGAATATTTGTTTAGATTATATTTAAATATAAGATTCTTTAATATTTGTGTTAACAGCATATAACAGCATCCTCTTTAAATAATATAAACAAGAGGGCTTCAAAAATAAAGAACAGAATTTGATACATTTTAAACATTTCCATACAAACTGTAACTGTTATTTGCCTTAGTACTAGGAGTTGCAAAGGCAATTTAATGCATAAACTTACCTCGGAAAAACTCTCTCTCCAGCATGGAAGCATCCCACAGAGGCACAGCGCTTCCCTCCCTCATGCCTGCTGGCTTGGGGACAAATGCACTCTCCACTGGTTGATTTTGCAGAGGTGAATTGTATAATTTTGCCTGATAATTTTAAAATAGAAAATGCAATATTATTACTGGACCTTCTGTAGCTAGAATACTCACATGTTCCCACAGAAATGCCCCAACCTTGAAAATACTAGTCTAAAGACTGCAATCAATTTTCCAAACATTTGTTCCTACCTTAAAATCTTTTGTTTCTGTCACTTTCAAGCAATCACAAACTTCTCCATACTTCCATTAGTTCTTTTTACTATGAGTCTTCAGGAAACATTTTGAGTTTTCCCTGCCAAATATTCCTACAAACTTAAACAGTACTACACAAATCTTAGGGAAATTCTTGGAAAACAGGAAAGAAATTGATCTCTCTTAAGTTGGCAGTGTTGTCTCCTTGGCCACTTAATCACTAGAATTTTAGATTTCTTACCTCTGTTCCTATTCTATCAAGAGCTGGTTAGCTGAAGCTTGTAGTGGACCTTAAGATTTGTGAACTCGATGGATTGGGGGGAAAAAGTATTTCTATCCACAGAGTTCACATAGAATGATAGAAACTAGTAGACAGCTATAATGTGTTGATTAGTGGTTCTGAAACAAAGGTGCTGAAAAGTATGACCTTATAAATTTTTTTCAAAAATCACTGCTCGTTTTACAGGATTTAGGAGAATGATGTAGAGTTACAATTGTTTTTTTTTTTATTAGCAAATGTTTATTTTGACTTCATCAATCCATCACTGCCCTACTTTCAAGCTTTAATTTGTCCTCATAATCTTGGGGGAATTATCCACTCCCACATCTTCACTTTCTTTTGCCAACACTCCATTTGCATTTCTTCTGTCAAACTGGCTCTGTCACTCCTGATTCCACTTTAGCTAATCCTGCACCCATCCCTGCACCAGGCTAGCAACCACTTCCTGTTCTGGTTTCTTTGATTTTTAGTCCACTCGGCTACCCATAACTTGAAATCCTTCCCTTCCCAAGTGTTCCCTTTCCATTTGATGTTCAGCATTACATTTCATCTCACCCCGAACACCTAAAACCAAATCTCTAATCTTTCCAAAACTCCAACTTTTCTATTTCTACAGCACAACTCCGCCCAGTTCTAAAGTTCAGGTTCCCTTAGTCTCTACATTCCTCACAATCGAGTATTTTCATCCCTACCAGTTTTCTTTCTCAAGATCTAGGTCAGTTATTTCTGAGAGAAGCCCTGCCCAAATTTCATTGACTTGTGGCTTTCAGTTCAATGGGCAAGCTGTAATTGAGTGCACACAAAGGAGATTTCTTAATAAGAAAGAAACAATCCAATGATAATTTGTTGATCACTGGATATAATTTAACACACTACTATAAAATTCAGAAGTAAACAAAAGCTAGAAGCAAAACATAACTCCAGTGAGACACCGAATGTAGGCAATAAAACTGGAAACTAATCATTTGAGAAATCAGATTACTTATAGCTAAGCTCTTTTCTTTCTAAAATGCATCAAGATATTATTCTCTTTTGTGCCCTTCCTACTGTCTAAGTCTTTATTTGTGCTAATAACAATTAGTCATGCATCTTATAAATCCATTCTTCCCAAATCTGCAGTGTTGGTAGTTGGTAGAGGTAGATACATCTAAGAGAACAGCAAGCATCATTTTCTCTCCATTTTAACACCCAAACAAACTTCAAATTTCCTCTATATAGACCAGAGTACATTCTTTTGGCCCCCTGTATCACAATGCTTTAGAGTAAAAACATATACTGAAATGAAAAATACAGGACCTGAGGGCTCAGGTGAAGGGATGCACCTCTTCAAGTGGAAAAGGATGCCCACCATCCAGAGACCCTGAATATAACCTGTGGTGATATGTCTGCCAGACCCTTTACTTCAAGACCAACCCTACTCACCCAATATGTTGAAAATAACCTCCAACACATGGAGATCCAAAATATGACTAAGAGAAAATATGGAGAATTTATTTATGTTCAATGTGAACTCTGTAAGAATTTGTTCCCCAGGGATAAAATTTTAAAAAGTAATTTTTAGTCAGTGATCTATAGCAGACATAGAGAAGATGAACAGTATTACAGCACTACAGATCCTTTTTATTGAAGCTTTACGTGAGATATTAGTAGTAGTAGTAGCAGCAGCAGCAGCAACTATACATTAATTATTCTAGACAATGTGCTTAGGGCTTCATAGGGATTACTGTATTTCATTATTTTAACAACATTGTGAGGCTGGGACTCTTATTATTCCCACTTTGAGAAGACTGCACTTGAGAAAAGTGAGGTGTCAAGAGGTCAGGCCATTTGCTTCAATGGTGGAAGGAGGGGATCATTTCCATCTGTTGGGTTGCAGAGCCCATGCTAAATCACCTCTCCCTACTTTTTGTTGTTAGTTTATCAGTGTACTATTTTTCAGTGGTAGGCATCTTCTGAGGCCACACACAGGTCTTAGAGCTGCTGAAAAGCACCTGAAATTTCCTGATACCTAGAGTAGAGGTGAAGTCCTTGGGGCAAGCAGCACACAGATCCTTAGTCCAGGCTCAGTTCTGGACTCAGAATCCCCCTCAAAATAATGTTCCATGCCAGCAGGTTGCCATAAGAAATGAAGCGTATTTCCCATCCCTGGCCTATAAGATGATGTTCAAACACCCTGTGTAGCAAAATCATATCAAAATCATTTTCCAGTTTTTGGTCTAAGCCTTTCCTCCTCAAGTCTCTTCAAGTACCCTGTGCTCTGAGCTCACTACATGCAGTTCTCTAAAATGCTGTGTACTTCTTCTAGACTTCCATGCTTCTGCTCCTGACCTTCGCTCCTTTTCCTCTTCTCTTGGAAAGTATCGACTGACCCTTCAGAGTCTAGTTCATATATCATGGTTTCTGTGAGCCCTTCTCCAATTCTCTAGGAAGAATGAATTACCAAAGTATACTTATATGCGCCTCTGGTGTGATACCTGTTATGTCACACCAAAGTTGTTTACATTCTCTGCACTTTCACTTTACCACTAGACTTCTCCTCTTGCCCCCACCACACATTTCAGTCTTCACGGTGATCTAAAAAAATCAGGGATTTGAAAACAAATGTATCAGGACCCTGGAACTGGCCCAACCTCTAAAATAACCAAGAAAGCACAGTGTTCTCCTCTGTGTCCTGAGCACCTAGCATAGCATCAGCATGTAGGAGAGTGACTAATATTTACTGAATTGAATTCTAAGATTACAGCACTATTTTCCACTTTTGAACTTCTCTAACACATTTTATTTATTTATTTATTTGTTTGTTTGTTTAATTGTTGGGTTACAGTTGTCCCCTTTTTCTGCATTGCTCTCCCCTGCCCTGTCCTCCCCCACTCTCATAAGCAATCCCCCCAACATTGTTCATGTCCATGAGTCTGCTATTCATGTTTCTTTGCTTGCTTCTTCCCTCCCATGATCCCCTTCCCTCTGGTCACTGTCAGTCTGTTTTTTATTTCCAGGTCTCTGGTCCTATTTTTCTCATTTGTTTGTTTTGTTGATTAGGTTCCACTTATAGATGAGATCATATGGTATTTGCCTTTCATTGCCTGGCTTATTCACTTAGCATAATGTTGTCCAGTTCCATCTATGCTATTGTGAAGGGTAGGAGCTCCTTCTTTCTTTCTGCTGTGTAGTATTTCATTGTGTAAATGTACCACAGTTTTTTGATCCACTCATTTACTGATGGGCACTTGGGCTGTTTCCAGCACTATTGTTAATAATGCTGCTATGAACATTGGGGTGCACAGGTTCTTTTGAATTTGTGATTCAGGATTCTTAGGGTACAGTCCTAGCAGTAGGATCACCGGATTGAAAGGTAGTTCCATCTTTAGTTTTTTGAGAAAATTCCATACTGTTTTCCACAGTGGCGGCACTAGTCTGCATTCCCACCAACAGTGTACTAGGGTTCCCTTTTCTCCACAACCTTGCCAGTACTTGTAGTTTGTTGATTTATTAATGATGGCCATTCTGGCAGGTGTGATGTGATATCTCATTGTGATTTTAATTTGCATCTCTCAAATGGGCAGTGATGTTGAGCATTTTTTCATGCGTCTATGGACTCTGTAAGTCTTCCTTAGAGAATTGTCAGTCCAGGTCCTTTGCTCAACACATTTTTGCACACTCATCTGGTATCAACTATCTTATATTTGATAACATTACTCATTTATTCAGATTTAAATACACTTTCAAAATATCCTATCTCATTTCATCCTTAGGATAAATTTGTGAATTAGGTGAGGATCATCGTTCCCATTTTTCAGGTGAAAAAATTGAGTCTTGGGTAAGTGATATCAATAATAAATGGTAGCAATGACTCCTCATGTTCATATGATCTGATCTCTAACCCTGTTCTTCCCCCTATGTTGCTTTTTACCATTGTTTCACTGATGTACATGTCTTCAACTGAATGGTAAACTCTCTGAAGACAGGAACCTTGCTGCAAACTTTCATGCCCCCCATGCACATAGGTATGGATTGCCACCAAGGTAGAAAATTACATATATAAAATTTCTAGTACAGATTATTACAGAAATTGAGACACTGAATATTTACAATATTAGGGCTCAGATCATCATGCCTGAGATGGGAAAATATAATAGTCAAACACATGAATTCTACTGAGGTCCAGATCCTGGTTCCACCCTTTAATAGCTATATAACTTAGGGCAAGTTACTTAACCTTTCTATACCTTTGTTTCTTTTTTGGTAAAATGAAAAAAAATATATAATAACTGCACCAACAATACCCCCCACCTCATAAGATTAAGTGAATTAATAATTGTAAAACACTTTAGAATGGTGTCTAGCTGTAGTAAGTCCTTGTTAGTCACTGCTCTTCTTCTATGGCTCCAGAGGGTTTCCCAGAGGACCCCTAATGATGGTGCAGTCTGATGATTTAGAAAAATGTCCAACAGGGCAAGAGGCCTGAGTCTCAAAATGCTGGCTTTCAGCATCTCAGTTACATTCTCAAACATGGTACATACAGTAGGCTGAGCAAAATGAGGCCTTTTAACCAACGTCAATTCACTCTACTGATATCGTTTGCAATTCTGACAAACAGCCCTGCCACAGAGTAACCTCAGGCTCTTTGAGAACTTCCTGGGGCAGCCAAACCTGCAGAACAGCTGTTGGAGCAGAAGCCTAAGCTCACTGATGTTATCAAATGCCCTGGTAAAGTCAACAAAGTAATTTTTCAAGGTGTTCCTGAATTTGTCCTGTGTCTGCTTTCCTGAAAAGGTCAAATTCGCTAATGTACTTTATAGATTAGAACCACTCATTCAGTTCTTCTTTCAATTTCTGAGTGCTAAGGTTGTGCCAGGCAGGGGGATACACAGGTGGGCACAGTCCTGGCCTCAAGGAGCCCACACTGACCCAGTGTGCTAAGTACATTGGACGTGTGTTTGTAGGGGTCCAGAGCTGCCACATCACCTAAGAGTAGGGCCCACCAAGATTTGTTCAGAGATGAAGAGTGTTCAAGGGACCAAGGCCATATGTTTTGCTTCTATTCTCATTGATGGTGAACACTTTGACCTTGGATTCCTCACCAGTAAGGAGATGATTCTCAATTGGCTGCAACTGGCTCCTTAAGGAACATTTGGCAAATTCTGGAGATATTTTTAATCATCACAACTGAGTGAATAACTACTGACATCTAGTAGGTAGAGGCCAGGGATGCCACTAAACATCCTATAATACCCAGGGTAGCCTCACAACAGAGAATCATTCAACCCAAAAAGGCAATAGTGCTGAGGTTGACAGAAACTCTTAGCTACATGTCTCTAAGTTTCTCTCTGTGTTTTCTCAAACCTTTTGTTTCTTTTAAACCAAAGCAAATATTTAAATGGCAGCTTTCTCTCTTTTGAGTGGAAAGTTATCTTAGTACAATCTCCTATAAAATGTGCCATTCCCACCAGCTGCCAACTAAGTTTAGGAAGTTCATTTCCTTAAATCTTAGCAAGAATCCCTGTAGCATCAACTTCCAGCTTTCTGCAGGCTTAAGGGGATAGGACTTCCATGTATAAATAATGGAAGTCTATGTATCATAGAAAACCTCTGTTTTAGACAGTAGTTTCATTATTTTTTCCTACTTTTTATAAAAGTTATTAACTGGAATCAACAATCACTAGCTCAAGTTGCATCCCAGCTCATACCTTTTAGATTGACAGTCTCTGAGCAACAATCGAGAGTGCCAAAGAAAGAAATCTATTAATATTCAGATTGGATTTTTGAATCCCAAGAATTCCAAATTAACTCTATTCTCTTATAACTTCCAAGCATTTTTATTTCTTTTTACATTCCTCATCAGCTTCAGATGCCATGGCTCTCACATGGTAGAGGACAGTGAGCTCTGAGTATTTCTCCAAGGAAAAGGAGTGTGAAGAAGCATCTGGAGCAGGTCTCTGTCCTCTTAGAGAACAAAGGTCTGTGTGTGCCATTTCAGTCCACTGCTCAGTTAAAGGAGAGGCTGCAGGTAGCAAGCCAATGGGGATCATGCAAACAGGGCTTTGGGGCTGGTGCACTGCAGGCATTATGCGTTAACTTCTGGCTGTGCGGATACAGAAACCCAGATTTTCTAATCCTGACTCGATCATTGACCAGTAACCTCCTTGAGCATGATCTTTAAATTCTCTAACCTCAGTTTCTTCATCTTTAAAATGAGGACAATAAAAGTACTTCACAGATTTCCTCTGAGGATTAAATGAAATTATCTATGTCAGGGGGCAGTTGTTGCTGGTGCCGTGGGGTTCAGTGTCCTCAGAAAGGTGGAAAGAAGAAAGCAGCATTATTCTGAAGAAGAATGGGGACTCCATTTTTAAAGGACCTCTCTTATATGTATTCCTCACCAGAATTCTACCCCATGCTTTTTGCAAAAAGGAAAAAAAAGAAAAATGAGAGAGACAGACAGACAGAAAGAAAGGTAGGTATGAGTATACCAAGACCACAATGAATTGAAGAATACCTCTCCCCTCTTTTTGCACTCTTAGTCTCTTCCACAGTTCTCATTCTTTCATCTCTGAACCACATGAGTCACACAGAAAGGCATAGGCATGTGTAGATCAAAAGTTAAGATGATGAAAAAAACAGAAAACTTACAGCTTCTCAATCTTGTAAGCATGTGAACACAGAGAATATATTTAAGTCTAAGTCCTTGGTGGAGAGTCCTGTTGGGTCAGTACCCTCATGTGAACCTGTTCTGCCCAAATGCATCTCACTTATCAGAGGCTTCCACTTTGAATACAAATGATGATCTTACCCAGAAATGATCCAGCCCAGACCCACATAGGCTTGGAAAAGTGGCGGTGATGCTTTCTGTCTCTTCCACACATGGAAAAATATCAGAGGTGCCACTGATGGTGTGAGCAGACACACAGTGGCCTCACTTCTTCCTGGCACAGCCTGCTTGCTGATCGAGCATTTTAGAACCAGAGCCAACTAGAAACCAACCATGAATGGAAAACTGAACTCTCTAGGAGAAATCTAAGTTTCTTAAGTAAATTTAAAGCTGAGCTGAAGGGAAACCTGTTTACATAGGTAGCCAACCAGGGATTACGTTAATTATGAGTTCCTTACAGTAAGCTTTAGTTTCTAGTCACTTACCACAGCAGTTCCCCTCACAGACACAGCAGGTCTCACATGCCTGTCACATCTGTGGAGAGAATTTGAAAAAATTTCTTTGAAGAGGGCCAAACTTTTACCAGGAGAAAAATCAACAGCCATCTGCCATTGTACCTTGGTATCTTGAGAAGATATGTGTATATTTCTAATGTTCTATAGGAAGATGTTTCTTGGTTAGTGCATTGTTGATAAAAATTTTGGAAAACTTTCCTCTGATTGCTAATGATGTTTTTACATCTTTGTCACTCAGGTAGCCAAGAAGAAATTAAATAATAGTGGGTTTGTGTCTGAACACAGCATGAGATACAATAGCAAAATGGTTATATCTGCTGAGTGCTTATTATGAGTGCAGGCAGTGTTCTTAACTCTGTGCTCATGTTAACTTGTTTAAATACTTCATTTTCATACAGTGGATGCTGTGTCTACTCCCATCTTACAGACCAACAGATAGAAGTTAGAAGATACTACCCAATCTAGATATCAGCAATTTTCAACCTTTTCATCTCATGGCACACCTAAATGAATTACTAAAATTCTGCAGCACACCAAAAAAACATTTTTCTGCTGATCTGACAGAAAATAGGTATTTTGATTCATTCTCACCGGACATCTATTGTTGTGTTGGCTGCTGTCATTTTTTTATTTGACAATTTAAAGGAAAGGAAGTCGGTGTCCCTGGCTAAATAGTCAGATATTGCATGTTTTAAAAATTTTTGTGGCATACTGGTTGAAAATCGACGTTCTACACTTTTGCCAGAGTGATCACTATAAATTGAATCATGCTAGTTTCCTGCTTAACATTTTAATGGTTCCCATTTGCACTCAGGTGAGAGTTCAAATTCTTCTCTGTGTTTAGAAGACCCTATATTATCTAGTCCCTGAATACTTTCCAGCTTCATATCTCACCTTCCTTTATCCCTTCTGCCAAAGGGATTGGCCACACTCTGGAACCTATGCACTCATTGTTCCTTTGCCTGAAACAGTTTCCTACCAATTGTTCACCTGGAAAACTATCTCATCCTTGAAGAATCATTATAAATGTAATTTTCCCTGGGAGACCTGCCCAGGCTCTAGATACCTAGACTTAGATTCTTAGTCTAAGATACACCCCTTCCAATGGGTTCCCGGAGCACACTGAACTTTCCCTTCTTAGCATGAATCTGTTTCCCTATTTCCTTTTTGTTGTCCTCACACGATTAAGGCCTGTAAAGCCATTGCCTGTTGTTTCATTCCATAATGCTGTACATGGAATTCCTCAAACAGTACTTGTTGAAGAAATGAGCAAATGTGTTCATTTTTATTCTCACCGCATCTGCTCTTCCTATATTCTTCACCATCATCCATCTAGTTTCCTAAGTCAGAGTGGAGAGTTCCCCTCCACTCTTCTTTCTTCCACATTCACCCCATCCAATTACCAGGCTCTCATCATTCTACATTCTAAACCGTGCACAAATCTGTCCACTTTTGCCCTCCTTGTTGCCACTATGTACGTTTAAGCCACTATCATCTCCACAGTCTCTTACCTGGTCTCTCTGACTTGAACTTTGCCCCTTGAATTTGTTCTTTGAGCTACAGCTAGAGCAGTTTCACAGCCTGCGCACTATTGGTATCTCTTTGGTGCAGTGGGCTGTCACATGTTGTAGGGTGTCCAGCAACTGCTCGGAACCTTCCCCACTAGAGGCCAATAGCACTTTCCTTCAGTGAAAACCAGTAATATCTTCAGACATTGCCAAATGTCTTTTGGGGGCAATTTGCCCAGGTTGAGAACCACAGAATTAAGATGATCTTTCTAAAATGAAAATCTCATTATGTCACTTCTCTGTTTAAAAACCATCAATGGAAAAAATATATACATATGCACATGCATGCATGCATGAATGAAGTAAACCAAAATATTAGTGTTTGTCCAGGGAGTTATGAGTGATTTTTATCTGATATATATGCATGTATACATAAAATAAACCTATGTTATACATAATAATAAGAAAAGGTATGGTGTTATTCAAAAAAAGTGATTCATGGCTACCTGCTGTGTACAGGATCAAACCCCTCCAAGCTCACCAGCACTGCATGGGTAAGGTCCAGAGTTCTGGACTCTGCCAGCCTTTCCCATCCCATCTCTTATCAGTCTCACCTTATACTGGGTTGCTGAACCTCAGTGACCTAGATGTTCACTTTTTCCAGTCTCTGTACCTTTGCTGTGTCATTCTTTCTGCCTGGTGCAATATCCCAACTCTCCACTGCTCAGCTCAGTCCTATGTGTCTTTCAAAAATTGGTTCTCTTCTTCCTGGAAGCCTCCTGGATCCTCTAGTATGAGTTAAATGCTTCTCCTACATGTTCTCATGGCAGAAATGCCACTCATCCACCATAGCACTCACCATATTATACTGTAATCATAGGTGCATCTGACTGTCACTGAGGTTGCAACAAGGCAAGATGACATCCCTGTGTAAATTTTATTTATTTTTTAAAGGATTTTATTTATTTGCTTTTAGAGAGAGGGGAAGGGAGGGAGAAATAGAGGAAGAGAGGTATTAATGTGTGAGATACATCAATCAGTTACCTCTCACACACCCCACAACTGGGGACCCGGCCCACAACACAGACATGTACCCTGACTGGGAATCAAATTGGCAACCTTTTGGTTCACAGGCTGGCACTCGAGCCACTGAGCCACACCAGTCAGGGCCCCTGTGTGAACTTCAAAGGGCATCTCTCCCTCAAGATCCTCACTGTCACTTGCCAGCAAACTGCCATAATAAATATACAAATCCACAAGGATTGTGATATGACCAGAACTTCCTGGAGATCTGCAGGGTACCTCCTGCCCACCTCTGTGCAGTAACCTGGTATCCCCTGATAGATTATGAAGTCCTCCAGGCAGAGGTGAACTTTGTTTTCACGATTTTATCTCTAACACTAAACATAGCACCTGATCCAAAGGAAGGCTTTGATAAAAGCTTGATAAATAAATGAAAGAGAAACTTTCACCTGGGCTACTGGCGCCTATGCCAGGAACTCTGACGGCCTTTAGTGTGGAGAGAATAGGGAGCCACGCTGCAGTGGTTTCCACACCTGAATGAACTTCCTAATATCCCAGAGAATTAAAAATAAATAAACATCCCTGTGCCTTTCTTCAAACCTTCTGAAGCAGAATCTGAAGGTTGGGGCCTGTCCTTATTTTTAAATTGCTGATGAGATTATAATAATGACCAACCGGATCAACGGGGGATCCTTTGGCCACTGCTCTTGCCCTGCTTCTTCCTCCTGTCAACACAACACTGCTGTTTATCTGTGGACACCACACCTGGTGTAGAGGATTTCCAAAGAAGGCTTACTCTGACTTCTTCAATCTAGGTGTCTTAGGTTTTTTCCTGTTCCAATGCAAGCAAAGGCACTCAGCTAGGAAATGGGAAGAGAGCACAGCAGGACATTTGTAGTGCATGAGAGAAAAAATAACCACTAACCAGAACCTAGGAAAATAATAATCTGTCTTTTTAATTTTCCAAAATAGTATTTGAAGTTTTTGTTTATGTAAACTGAGGTTGCAGTTGGACTGCCTAAGCTGTGTACACCCTACAGATGAGGCAAATTTGGGGATGTCTGAAGAGCAGCTAGTGGATACATTGAAGCTCTTTGCATCTCAAGGGGAAAAAATTACCCTAAAGGAAGAGGGTAGTCAGCATGTATATACTCACTGCTTCAGTTATCACTCCGTGATCACACCTACAGAGAGAACACTTACTATATACTAAGCACTGTGATGGTCCCCAAAGGAAAGAAGCAATCTTAGATTTAATTGTACATGTTGCTCTTGAGACTATGAACTAGTTCCCTTGTAGGTGCACTTTGCGTAGTTCTTGGGATTACAACAGAGGAAAGAGTAGGGGGCAAAGGTCCACATCCCTAAAATTGTCATAATGAACTGATGGCCCACGGTTGCACAGCTTTGAGAATGTGTGTGGACAGGAGGGTGTGGCCCCCTTGAAGGGGTGACTTTATTGTGGAGTATGTTGGGGCATGAAACAGAGTAGCATGCGTATCCCCTACTATGGGGTGGGGGCCTCACTGTAATGACCTGGGTCTAAAATAAGAAAAGAACAACTGTAGATGCTACTCGGCAACCAGGAAGATGGCATTTGTAACCTCATGACATATACTATTGGTTATTTGCTGAACCATGTGGAAGGAATTTGTGGGGCGTGGAGTTGCTGAAATTTTGTGGTGGGGAATGAGTACTCTACGTCACAGGTGCTAGACTTCCCATAGCAAGACCTGAGGAAATATGACTTACAAGGAAATGCTGGGGGAGAGGTACATGTAAAACATGTATACTTTTCTCAAATTTATTGGCTAGCAATAAATAAATTAAAACATGAATGGAAATTCTTTTTCTTTTTTGGGGGGGTTTGGGGGTCACACAGGGTATATAGTATGACCATTTATAAATAGGCTTAAAATAATAATAATAGATAGTATGGGAACCGCATAAATTTGGGAGGAGAAACCAGTCATATCTGAAGCAGAAATGGCAGAACTTTTTGCCTTCTTAATTCATGAGGTCACTATGTTCCCATGACCTTTTATCCACTGATAACAGGAAATCAAAGCTTCAAAATTCCATATACTTTTTATTGCCTGGGCCTTTCTAAAATGAACAAGTATATCTGGTGAAATGATGAAGTCCATTTTTTTTTCCTGGAGATAGCTATCCATTATCCAGTGTCATTTCTCAGTTAAGCTATAGCTTAGCTTAAACGAGGAAAAGAAAATTCTCTGATGCTTAGTCTTTTAGGACTGAATGGAAGGCTGACTGTGTTCCGCCTAGAGAGGCTGGATCTCTTTCTGTGGTTTATGAAAAATCCTATAAACTGCTTTGCTGACTTGTTCTCCAGAGCAACAAGTGTGACAAAGTCAAACCTTGATGACTTCAGCGAGTAGAAACCTGGCAGAGAATGACTGTACTTCCCCTGGGGCCTTTGTCAGCTCCTCTTGCGCACTCACAGGCAAGGAGGAGTTCCTGAACCAGAGTCTGTATTTTAAGGATGATTTTGTATTTTGAAAGATCAGAACTGCCAAAGAAAGTCTGGTTCTACTCAAGAGTAAAGAGCACCTTGAAATTTATTGGTGGGATGCATTCCTACCACGATATAACACTTCTTTAACCATACACATTCAGGATTTATAACCAAATATTTAAGTAAAACTGATATTTAAAAATAAAAAGGACATATTTTTACATTTTATCTTAGGAAACCTCTTAGAAGCAAAAACCAATGTCTTCATGATATTTGTATCAGCATAACTAATAAACATATATTCTAAATTATGTTTTGAAAATAGAGTGTATTTAAAGACAATAAATTCTGTAAACTGCTAAGCACACATGTACACTTAAACTGATCTTAAACTGATGAAATTTGTTTAATTTCTGCATGCTGTGCTAAATGCCTCAGTTCATCTGGTTAAAAGAGAGCTACAGGTCATTTCAGTACTTAAGAAGGGTGGTTGTTAAACAGAGTTTTGCAAGCGCTTCAATTTTTTTCAGTTTGGCCCATAACTAAGACACATTCGACCCAGAAAGACGATTATAGATCTTTTATCTCCTTTGATCCACTTTTTCAGTAACTTGCAATATGAGCTTGGAAATAACTGGTCAATAGAGTTAACAGGTTTTTCAACCTTTCCCAGTTTCCTAATGTTAGATTGTTTGGTGATATAAAACCCTGCCTTAGAGAAAATCACCTAAAACACAGACTACAGCATGAGTTCCAGCTACACCACACATTAAGATTATTTCTTTTCTCCTTAAAAGACATTTTAGCTACAAAAAAATACTCCACTTTTGAGGATACTCAAAAGAAATAAAATAACTCCCCAAATGAAAAGTTGAAAATACTCCACTTTCAATTTCCCAAATGAGAGAATTACTAATGTTTCAAACATTTTACAAAAAAAAAAAAAGCAACTCACCTATTTGAAGAGTATTTGCTTGCAAGTGACTCTGGTAGAGATAGTCACATACGTCTACATTTCGTTCATTATTTCATCAAAGACAAAAGAGCTTATGGTGAAAGCTAGAAGCAAAAATCCTTCCATCCACCCAAGAGAGGAAAACAGAGCTGTTTTCTAAGTCTATCTTCATCACATGCCCCACCAGCTGCTTACTGCCTATTGCTTTTCAGCAAGAGTGACCTCTAACACCTTTTATTGAAGCACTGCAATGCACTCTTAAGAGTCTGACGGCACACACAGAACACAGCACACGCCAAGCCAACACCTTAAGGGTGGGAAGCTTTTCAACCAGGAAGGCATGCTGAAAATATTTAGCAGTCAGCTCAACTGAACGGAAGTAAAGCGTTGCTTGTTTTTCACAAGACAATCCAGGAATATAAGGAGTTGATGTGAACTGATTTATGCAGATCTAAACTAGGAACCATCTGGAACTATGCCTCCATTGCTCTAAAAGCTTCTCTTCCTTTATCTTAAATTTAAATTCTGAGCAACGACATCAGAATGGTCCTAATTTTTCTCTAGTCTCTTTGGTTATCTCAGTTATGCTCATTTAGTACCCCATCCTGCCTTGTGACCACAGATACACATACCCCTAAGGAAGTACTTTGGATTTAAATATCTGCCCAGGCATTCAGAGCAGGGGAAAAATTGTCAGTAATTATTACCTGGGACCTGTGCAGCTGGTTAGAGGTAGATTTCAAGCGAGCCAGGTTTCATGGTTTCATAAGGACTTAGTCCCTCTGCAAGAAAAGTCCTGTTTCCTTTGTCAGGATCTGAATTTAAGTTCTAAGAACAATCATTAAACATTCTGCACAGAAAACAGGCTGCCGGCCTCTGGGATCAGGTAGCTAATGAGCTATCACGTGATGTGAATTTGACTCACCCTTTCGGTCCCAGCCAGTGAGGCTTTAAAGTCTCCTTTCTGGGTTTCCCAAAGGAGAACAGGGAAGCAAATGATGATCTGAAACTCAGCCGAGAAGGAACAGGTGTTGGGTTTCTTTGAGTAGGTGTAGTTTTAGATTGTGATGTTTGTAATTCCATAGGATCTAAAAGAAAATTGTAAAAGTTCTGTATCATTAAAATATTTCCAGGTAAATAAATCTCAGAGAACTAAGGCTTCACCGCCCCTCCACCCCCGCCGCCCCCTCTGTACTCGTGGGAAGTCTAGCAGCAGGCATCTCCCCGTGAAGACCTCAGGAACTCAGGGGAGTCCTGCGCCTAAGACGGTTCTGCTGAGCAGAGAAAATCCTCACAAAGACCAGAGGGAGTCTTTCAATAGCACGGTGCTGCACCTCCCTGGGACCCTCCCCTACACCAGCTATGTGAACTCTATTCAACGTGTCTTCCCCGGAGCTAGCTAAAACCTGATATGAGGTGAGGGACCTCATTCAGTCTTACCTTGCTCTTAACCACCTTGTCCTTCAGAAATTTTTATTTTAGTATTTTAAAACATAATGATAGGTACAATGTAACTTTAATATCAAAGAGAGTAAAGGAAAAGGAAATAAGCCATTTAGAGTGTTTCTTATTCCTGTCAAAAATATATATATATATATTTACTACATATATGGTTTACATGTATATATGCATGTAATATAAATATGTATACATATTATATAGTTTTATATGTAAGTATGAAAAATTCTAAGGTAATAGCAACACATACAAAGTCCATAATACTATAATACTTTTGGACATGCTGAATTTATAAATATTAGAGGAATTCAAGGTAAAGGGGAAGTCACCATAGCGTATATGGGGTTAATCTAAATATCTGAAATGTGAGTCTTTTTAGATAGGTTTGCTTATTATGGGAGTTGCAAAATAGTGTCAGTATGTGAGTTTAGAAATATCATTACATGTTTCTTGACATTACTGATGTTAGTAATATATAAGCAAAAGCAGTCAATGTGACTATCAGTAGAAAGAGACTTTATACTGTTACGGTATTTTATAATTTCTAATGTACTTTGTTATTCTCATTATAGTCCTGTGAATGGTTTTATTACACTCATTTACAGGTAACAAAAATTAGTGATTGGTGAAGGTAAGCAACATGCTTAGATTCCAAAGAAGGCATTTATTGGAGCTCACATGGTTTAATTACGTTTCTAAAGTACCAGAAGGGTGGGTGCTCCCCTACCACCTCCCCGGCTCCCTTCTCATTAAACTCCCCCTTCCCCACCTCTCTGCTACCTCCCCCTCCTTCTGCATCATCACCACACTTATTTAAGTGCTTACTGTGTTCCAGCTCAGTACTTTATACATATAACTTTATTTAATTCTCACAACCACCCTATGAGGTAGGTATTATCATACCCATTTAAAGGTGAAATAAGTGAGACTTGTAGAGAATAAGTAACTTGAATATTCACATGGATTCTGATGGAATAGACAGAGTGGAGATGTGAATTCAGGACTTTTAAAAGTATTGACATTTGTGTTCTTAACCACTATATTATCTTGCCTGACTTTAAAAATATATACCCCAGATATTATAGTACATTTTTAACTCACTCTTTTATTGTGTGTTACGAAACTTTTGTGCCATGTTATTGAAAAATAGTCCTAAACATCGATTGGTTAAATCGGAGAGCACTGAGCCATTGCCCACAATATTGTGTCATAAGAAAAAAAATAGGTATAATTTTTTTCTCACCATTTTCTGCCATCCCCTTCTTTAGCCTGTATGTAAGGGGTTGTTTTAACATTTGGCTAACATCTGTTTCATTGCAAAACTTTTTTCTTTGAATTTCTTCAAACCATTCACCAGTCACTCCCTGAAGCCATCTGATATCCCTCTTTGTCTTCTGGAGTTTGCTGAAATAAAGAAAAATATTAATATACCCTTTAAATTCTTCACATCAAGTGTAAAGTCATGTGACAGGCTAAATTTTACCTAATGGAGAAACTCCTTAAACTACAAGTCTAGAAGAAAAAATTGGTCCTACTCAGAATTTTTTTTCACTACTGTGTACATATATTGGCTGTATATTTTCCAAAATAATAACAATCTAAAACTTTTTGCTAGTATTTAAAATAATCAAATCTGTGAGGACAGTGTGCGTTGACCATTGTGCAAATCTACGTAGTAATGCAATAGAATAATAGATGTATTAATGAGATGTTAAAACTAGAATATTCTAGTTCTGATTACACATTCATTTCTTCAGATGTGTTCATGGAGCAATATCCATGCACCAGTCTTTGTGTAGGCAATGGGGATTCAACAAGAATAAAACATTTAGGGTCTTTACTAGCCCATCCAGTGGTCAGAGAGAAAAGCTTATATACAGAAAAGAAATTGTTGAATGTAGTGGTCTTACATAAGGGGATTCTTTAAACAAAAGAAACACAAAAGCCTATGAATGAGCATAGGGCCAATACTCAGGTAGTAAGAAACAGTGTAATTTCAGATAGGCAGAAAAGGAAACCTGAGCATAAATGCGTCTGACCTCCACTTTCAGAGTACCAGAACCGAGGTTCCATCCTTACTTCTTTCTTCTCCCCTGCAGTGTCCTGCTTAGTCCCCTTTCAAATGAAAATGTGGCTCTAAGTCCTTAATTAAAACATTGATTGTGATGGATTTTTTGTTTGTTTTTAATTTTTTGTTTTTAAATTATTAGTTGTCATACAATATTATGTTAGTTTTAGGCATACCACCCTGTGATTAGACATTTATATAAACTCATGAAGTGGTCACCTCAATAAGTCTAGTACCCATAGTTACTACAATATTACTGACTAAATTTCCCATGCTGCACTTTACATCCCCATGACTGTTCTGTAACTACCATTTGTACTTCTAAATCCCTTCACCTTTTTCACCCATCCCCTTAACCCCTCACCCATCAAAATGTCTGGCAACCTTCAAAATATTCTCGTATCTGTAAGTCTGTTTCTATTCTGCTTGTTAATTTTGTTTCTTAGATTCCACATGTAAGTGAAATATACACCCCAGACATCATCTGGCATTTGTCTTTCTCTGTCTAACTTATTTCACTTAGCATAATACACTGTAGGTCTATCCATGTTGTTGTAGAAGGATAGATTTCCTATTTTTTTATGGCTGGGTCATATTCTTTGTATATATGCACCACCTCTTTTCCATTCATTTATTGACAGGCACTGAGATTGCTTCCAGATCTTGACTATTGTAAACAATGCTGCAATGAACATATGGATGTATATGTCTTTTCAATGTAGTGTTGGGTTTCTTGGGATAAATACCCAGAAGTAGAATTGCTGGGTCCTTCTCTGTCTCATTAGAGCCTTTGTCTTAAAGTTTCTTTTGACTGGTATAAGTGTTGCTTTCCAGGCTTTTTTGTTTTGTTTTGTGTTTATTTTCATGAAATATCATTTTTCCATCCCTTTATTTTTAGATATTTTGGTCTTTCAATCTGACATGAGTATATAGCACATGTAAGGGCCTTGTTTTGTTATCTATTTAGCCACCATATATATTTTGATTGGAGCATTTACTCCATTTGCCTTTAAAGTAATCGTTGATAGATATGTATTTATTGCTGTTTTATTATTCATATGTACCTTTTTTCTTCTTCTTTTTCTTAAAGAATACCCTTTAATGTTTCTTGTGACTGGTTTGGTGGTGGTGATGGATTTTTCTAGTGTTTTCTTGTCTGGGAAGCTCTTTATCTGTACTTTGATTCTAAATGATAGCTTTGAGGGGTAGAGTGATTTTGGTTGCAAGTCCTTGATTTTCATCACTTTGAATATTTTCTGCCAATCCATTCTGGCCTCCCAAGTTTCTGATGAGAAATTAGCTGAAAGTCTTATGGGAGCTTCCTTATAGGTAACTGAATGCTTTTTTTCTTGCTGTTTTTATGGTTCTCTGTTTTTAACCTTTGGCATTTTAATTATAATATGCCTTGGAGTGGGCCTCTTTGGGTTCATCTTCTTTGGGACTCTCTGTGCTTCCTGGACTTGTATGTCTATTTCCTTCACCAGGTGAGGGAAGTATTCTGTCATTTTTTAAAAAATAGGTTTTCAATTTCTTGCTCTCCCTCTTCTCCTTCTGGTACCCCCATTATGTGAAGGTTGGTATGCTTGATATTGTCCAGAGACTCCTTATACTATCCTCATTTTTTTCTTTCTTCTTTTTGCTGTTTTGGTTGGGTGTTTTCTTCGTCCTTATATGCCAAATTGCTGATTTGATTCTCTGCTTCATCCAGTCTACTGTTGATTCATGATACGGACACCAGCAAGCAGTGTCCATAGTGTGTGGCTCAGACAAGACAAATTCACATGGAATACTGAGTCCTGTGAAGGAAAAGGGATGACACGGCCAGTCTCTCAAGGGGAGAGCATGTGGACCCTTGCCTTGACAGGCTTTTATTGGCTTAATTTGAATAGGAATACAGGGTGTATATGGAAAGCTCATCAATCATTGTCAGGCAGTAATAATCAAATAGATCATATTCAAAGAACTCTGAGGGCTTATTTTGAGTCAGAGTCAGATAGCTAAAGGGCCAGTTTTAGATAGCTAAAACTTTGGGGAAACAAACTCATTTCATACTTGGACCCTTATCATTTAAATTGAAGGTATTAACAAAGCAGGTTTCACAGGATTTTATGTATTCTTTCTTAGGCCTGATAGCCCTAGCGAACCGCCTATTCCTGCTCAGGGCTGCACCACCCTTTGTCATTGTTTCAGGCTTAAGTCAGGCAGGGGAAGTAAGGCAGCCAAGAGATTAGGAGACTTCTCTAAGACAGAATGAGGACTCAGGCTACGTCAAAGCCTAGGGGTGAGGGTCCATCACCTCCTTCTCCATAGCCCCCCAAGTCCTTCCCTGATGGCCTCTTGTGACTATCCCTGTCTTAGGTCGTCGCTCCCTTGAGGAATCTTACCCGTCATTGGCTAACTGGTCACGCACTGGGTGCCAGGCAGGGTGAAGTAAAGTGGGCAGAGGCAGTGCTCCTGCCTGGGAGATAAGCTTTGTCTCCTTAGTGGCTTAAGGTGTCAAAGTCTCTCACTCAGCCTTAGCCATGGGGGGTTATAGTTTCTGAAATCAGGCAGGGAGGTTCCAACAGATTCCCTATAATGCATTCTTCATATTAGTTAGTGTAGCTTTAATTTCTGACTAGTTCTTGTTTGTGGTTTCCATGTCCTTTTTTATGCTGCTGAAGTTCTCACTAAGTTCCTTGAGTATCCTTGTAACCATTGTTTTGAACTCTGTATCTGGTGGGTTGCTTGCTTTCATTTCATTTACTTCTTGTTCTAAAGATTTCTCCTGTTATTTCGTTTGGGACTTGTTTCTTTGTCTCTTTATATTGGCTGTTCCCCTGTTTGTTTCTATGTACTAGGTAGAGCTGCTGCATCTCCAGAACTTGGTGGAGTAGCCTTAGATAGCAGGTATCCTGTAGAGCCCAGTGGCATAGCCTACCCAGTCACCTGAGCTGGGTACTCCAGGTGTGCCCCACGTGAGCTGTGTGCACAGTCCTGTTTTAGTTGAGCCTTGATTGCTGTTGGCACTTCAATGGGAGGGACTGACCCCCCAAGACTGATTGTTTTTGAGGACCATCCATCACTACAGTGGAGATTCTGCTATGTAGGGGCCAACTCCATGGAGCAGGACTCATTTTAATGGGGCTTTGGTGCCCACTGAGTCTGCCCCTTGAGTGTGTCACTCATGGAATGGTTGGCTTGTAATCCAGTGTGGTCTGAAGTGCCCACTGAGTGCACTGGCTCTAGGGCCTACCTTGAGGTGCAGTCCAAGGTCAGCTGCTGCCTGTGCCCTGCCCTGGGCCACCACCCAACATGAGCTACAAAGTGACCTGCAGATGGGTGCTACTTGTGCCGGGCTTGAAGTTGCCTGGGAGAGGTCAAGCTGCAAACCAAGGCCAGATGCTGCTAGTATCAGGTCTGGTGCCAATTAGTGAGAGGTCCAGGGCTCACTGAGGGCAGATGCCGTATGCTTGAGGAAGTTTAGGAGAATCAGAGGCATGAACCAAGACAGGCCCTTTGTATGGAAAAGCCACTGGAAATGGCTTGGGTGAATCTGAAATTTGGTTGGGGTAGGGTCTTAGGGAATCACCAGAGCAGGGTGAACATTGTAAGCCAGGTTGATGGATGCTCAGATATGGGGATCATCTGCCAGCTGTGTGTGTGTGTGTGTGTTGGTGGGGGGCTGTTTTAGGAAAAGAACAGTGTCCTCTGCCAGCTTCCCCTCCAGCCGTCACCCTGATGCCAGACAATTCAGTTCTTCCCTATATGTCTCTGGTGCCTTTCCAGCTGCTGCCCCAGCAGCCAGAGTTCAGAGCATGTGAGTCTGAGGAAGTCTGTGTGTATGGATCCTTTAAGAGGAACTGCATGGAACTCTGGACACCCTCCAACTCACTCAGCCACATTCTTTTCTGTTTTTTGCAGCCAGAGGTTATGGGGACTTCCTGGCACTGGAACTTTGTGATAAAGAGCCTGGTGTAGGGCTGGGACCCTTCACTCCTTTGCGGGATCTTCTCAGCTGAGTTATCCTGCCTGATTTTTAACCACTGCAAGTGGGTGTGGACCAGTGTTCCCTGTCTCTGCATCCCCTACCAGAATCAATGTGGCTTCTTCTTTAGATTCTTCATTGTAGGACTTCTGTTCAGCTGGATTTCAGGTGTTCTGAATAATGGTTTTTCTGTAATTTAATTGTAATTTTGATGTCATTGTGAGAGGTTCTGAGTACTACATTTACCTATGCCACCATCCTGAGTGGAACCTCATGATTGTTTTCAGAAAGCAGATCATTTTGCCCTATTTCAGGCGGGATAGAACTGCTTGGAAATGGGAGGTGCTCAATGCAGAGGGAGACAGCCCT